TATATATATATATTAAAAATAATATTGGATACCTGCTAGTGACGTCATCATTTGGTCATTGTTTTAAATCGTGGCATTCGTCTGTTCAGAAGCCAATCAGATTCGACATACGCGCGTGACGTTGCTTGATCGATTGTCCAATTAAATCCGATTAAAATCACACGATTAGACATAATCACTTCACTTCTTATCGCGTTTCATGTTCTCATTTACTAGTTTCTTTGCTGTCTGCTTATGGTATTAAGCATTTTAAGTGTATTATAGGAGTAATAATTTTACAAAGATTTACAGCTTTTCTGCCTACTCTTTCCTTTTATACCATTTAATATAACCTAAAAAGCATTGTAAGTGTAACGCGCCATTACAATAATACATTCAATGCACATGCTATTACAATAAATGCTATTACAATCAAGGTACATGCTGTTACACTTCAGGACTCACTATTCATACTGAAAGGATGAATAAAGAGTTCTAAAATGAACAGTTTCGAGTTTAACACTGAATATGGACTGAAGCAGTAAACTAAGTTTTTACTAACTTCGTGTAAGAAGTTTTACAATCAATAAAAATTAAAGCTGAAACTGCAACAATAGTGTATAATGCTTAACACCAGGGGTTTTTTTAAAAGAGGATCTCATGAATTCAAAAATATTATGATATAAACATTTCTGGACAAGAATACGAAAATTACGCTTTTAGAATCAGCATAAATGCTTCAAAGTTAATTCCGTTATAATCGCAATGTTGTCTACAATAATCCGATGCCATGTTTCCTGAGGTGGATCGTAGTCTATTATGACATTCTTCTTTATATAGATTTTACTTGTTTGTCTCGCGTATGAATGTATATGTCGTTATTGATATTTAAATCGTAAATATACTTACATTGTATTGATAAATAGAGAGGTTTACTTTCTCCCATTCCCTCTGAGTTGGAAGCAGAACAGGTATAATGGCCTCTGTTTGTCCTTTGAACTTTCTGAAGAACTAATGATTGATTGCTAATTATGAGCCCTGCAGAAACATTGGTATGTAATTCTCTTCCTTCAAAGGCCCATCCAATTTCAGTAACCCAAGGATTGGCACGAATGTCACATTCCATATACACATCGTTTCCTTCTTGAATTCGGAAATGGCGCAATTTGCTTCCTAGTCGTAAGACCAGCTGAGGCACATCTAAAAGACGAATTACGCAATTAATAAGACAACACCTTCCTTTAACAGGAAGAAGATTGATGAAATTTAAGGGTCCTATTGCCAAAAAAATTACTTAAATATCTTAATATTGCTAACACTGCTTATATATATATATACACTCCATAACAAAAAAATCGACGCACCAAGAACGCACTAAGACGCGCAAAATTGACGCTCGATCAGGCTGGAATGGTGCCGACTGGGGACGTATAGTCTTTAGCGACGAATCCCGTTTCCAACTGTGTTTTGACGAACATCGAAGACGTGTTTGGAGACGCACAGGGCAGAGGGGGGATCCCTGATTGGCTTATCA